TTCCATCGAGGGGATGTAGCTCAGTGGTAGAGCGCATGCTTTGCATGTATGAGGCCCCGGGTTCAATCCCCGGCATCTCCACATTTTGCCCCTGCCCTGCAGGTCGGTGCTTTTTGCTTTTTTCTGCTTCATTTTCGAGAGGAGCCGAAATTTCCCAATACACTCGCTAAGTGCCTGTTTATTTTCTTCCCTCCCCGCACCAGAGTGTGCAGACCTGTGCTGCAATTCCTGCTAAAGAAAGGAGCGTTGCCAGGAGCCCCCAGCACGCTTCTGCCTGGGGACATCCCAAACCCAGTGGTGCTGAAAAACAAACCCCAAAACCCCGGTGTTTAACTAAAAACACACCGAGGGGCTGCCTTCCTTCTGGCTGGAGATCTAAAGTTGCTGTTGCTTCAGCTCTGGATGTTCTTACTGCTTCCTTGTGCTCTGGGAACACAAGCAAGCAGTGGGAATTATGGACACACAGTATGGGAATTATGGACACCCATCCAGCCAGCTGGGCTGCACCAGTTTCCTTCAGAACATGGGAACAGGAGGGTCCCTGTCCACACTTTCTCCTGCAGCAGTGTCACAAACAGCAGCCCATCTGCACAGTGTGAGCACTGGGTTTACCAAAGCCCAAAAGGATCAGGTGAAGGGGAAGGTAAACTGAACCTTCTTCCCTTCACTAATTAAACCATTCCTATCCCAACCCAAGAGTTTGCTCATTTTTGTGCTTCCTGCCCTGAGCTGCTCTGTCTGGCACCCATGAGGATGTGCCTGCATGGCTCTGATATCCTGCTCACTGCAGCATCCCACACAGCAAACAATTCTCCCATCCAGACCAAGAATTTTACATATTTATTACAGTTCATATGACTAATATAGTCCAAAGAGAAACTTCAGGTTAAAAAAAAAAGAAAAATCTCCATAAAATACAATGGATAAAATTATCCAAACATTAATACTATGAAATACCAGCCAAACAGCTGGCAGGGCTTCTGGGAAAGCAGAATAACAAAAGGTATTCCTATAACAGGTGAGTCCATCAGTTTCAGATTTCCAAGGAAAGCCCTGGAAAGCTCTCCAAACACCCTGGAGCCAAGGAGTGCATCAGCATCGAGGGTCACAGGGCCACTGGAGGCCACTTCAGGGCGAGCTCCTGGTGCAGGGCCTCGGGCACCCACTGGCAATAGGCTGCGAGCAGATCTGCAGGGGAGAGGAGAGACACTGAGCTGGGCTGGAAAAATCCCCTGAGGGATCACCAGACCCACTGGAGACAGGACCAGCACCCACTGCAGGGATGCTGCTGGAGCTGGGATGCTGCCTGGCACAGGTGGCAGCACCCACAGGAATCTGTGTGCCATCCCTGCAGCACCTTGCTGCTGCTTCTGTGAAGAATTCTCACCATCTGGCACCCCAATGTTGAAAAAAATCCATTTTACCAATAAAAAACCCTTCAATGTATCCATGGACAGTACCACCACAGTCTGTACATTTTAACTGTGGTTACAACTACAGAAAAAAAATAAATCTTAGAATACAAATAAATGTTGCTTTCTGAAGTGCCTTCTGTCATTTTTCCCAAGAACCAAGCACAGGGCACTCCTGCTTCTGATAAGAAAATAGAAATATTTTAAGCTTAACAAATTAAATAGTCCATTTTTTGAAATTATAATTCAGTAGTTCTCAAGGCACCCCACTGACATGACTGATAATTAGGCAAGCAGAACACTCACATTTGGGATTTTTCTTCCATGCAGCCACCAAAGCATCACGGTTATCACAGTTTTCTTTCACCAGAGCCTGCAGCAGGGCTTCTGTCCTGGGCTGAAGTCTGAATCACAGAAATGGAGCAATAAACCAATGTTCATGAGCCCAGCAGAGCCAGCAGGCTGCGTGTCCTGCCCTGCCCTCACCACCCCCAGCTCTCCTGGGACACGGCTTTTAAACTCATTTTCCCAAGATCACAATCTCCACCACCCTTCTCAGCATTGAATTTTTTAAATTTAGAAAGGAAGTGAAAAGTGTTTGGTGGAGAAAAGAACCTGAGGTTTGTTTTTAGCCACTTACTTGGACCATGTTTTCAGCATTATGAGGGGGCTGGACAGCAGGCACTGGCTGTAAGAGCTCAGCTTTTTAATGACCTGGAAGATTGGTAACAACAATTATATAATGAATAAAGTGAATTAATTGTGATATGATAATAACCATCAATGAATTTGTGCTACTACAGATTTCCATGTCATATCCTCCATCACCATCTCCTCCCATCCCTGTGTCCATAATCTTGTCCTGACTTTTTGGACAATTCTCCTGTCCCATACTGGACAAACACATGGGCTATTGGTTGCAAAAACAGCACTTAAATTTGGGGGTGTTTTTCACTGAAATACTGATTTTTCATGCTTTTTTTTTTTTGTGTTTTGAAGATCCCTTCCCCACCTCATCAACCACAACAAACTCTTCCATCCACCAGCAAGTGATGAGCAAAAAATGAAGCCATAAGGTTCATCTCCTCCAAAAACTGGGCTAAAAAATTAATGATTGCATCAGAGAAGTGGTGCAGGTGGAGCACACTCACCTTTCCTTCCAGCAGGAACCTGGCAAAGTGTTTGTAGCGCTCGATCCCTGGGGGAAAATCAACTTCCACAGCAGGGAGCTGCCAGCCCACCCGGTCTGCAAACAGAAAACAGCCCAAATCTCCTCCCTGCTCCCCCACTGGGGCACCTGGCCAGGCAGGGGCACACAGGGGAGGGCACTGCCAGCCTGCACAGTGCCCACCTCAGTGGGAAATGCAATGTTTGAATGCT